TTTGTCATATATATTATTTTTTTAGCACCAAATATGGTAGGGGATTGAACTAAGCTAATATCCAATACCCACCAAACCAAACGAGGCCTTGGAGGGTTTGACTATATAGTTGAGCCTGTAGAGACAAGACGATATTATATGGCCAGTGGCTTCCCCACTGAGAGGCAAGAGACAAAGAGGGTCGACCAAAGCTTATTATAATTGACTGGAAATTTGTGTGAAGCTTCCTCAGTTTCTAGAATAGTTCAATAGTAGAAGAAGACAAGCTACCAAAAAGAAATGTGGACTAGGAATAGTTCAAAAGTAGAAGTGATTATGTGGAACAATCAAATTGAGAAATTTTATCGTGTAAATTCTTTTGTCTTTTCTTTTTTGGGTTGTTAGGTATAGTTTACGTGTTGTTGGTTTTAGATGCTGGTCTTTTAACTTTTATTTATTTTTTTGTGGTGTCGATTTTAACCTTTGAGGTAAACAAAGAAAACACATTAAAAATCCAAATTTAATGCATTATTCCCTTGTAATTGAATTTTTAGAATTTAAATTTTGCATTATTTCCTTGATAATATTTATAAAATACAATTTAACCATGGAAAGTAAAGACCCACATATTACTCCCAATGAATAATGCTACTTTTACCACATTCTCATATTACCTTATATAGCAAATGATCTAAACTACAATGGGGAGAGGGATTCATACACAAACACTAACACTCACACACTACTAATGTGCTATGGGAGTTCACACTTGATACCAATAGTCTACAAGTCAAAGCTCTTTTCCACTATGCTAGACCTCGTTAGCAAGCACCAATAATTTTAAGGGAGTTTCACTAAAACACCCAAAATGGGAGTTGAAATTATAAAAAAAACCCAAGCACTATTTAAACATATAAACACACCTAAAACTCATTATTACACACTCAAAACCCATTTATAAACACACCCAAAAAGTTGACTTTGGGGTTGATTTTGGGTGTGTTTCTATATTTAAATAGTACTTGAGTTTTTTTATAAATACATGTCTAGGATTAGGTTTATTTATAAATTTGTATAATTTTAATGACCAAAGGCCTACATCGAAAATGTGATAAGGAGGTTTGATATGGGTTCGTGTAGTTTTTTTTATGTTCCTATCATGATCTGATTGAGTTTTCTTTTAAATTTTGGTACTTTTTGCTTCAAAATTGGCTAATTATTCTGTCACCTATTTCGCCCCACTATAAATCAACTTCCAATAGGGTAATTAAATCCAAATTTCTAATCTTTACACCCATCATATTTCGAAGTGTATTCTATTTAATTGACTCAACAAGTGTTTACGTTATAGGTTGCAGATACTACCTAGTTTCATGGTCTCTTCCATGTCAAGCTGAAATTAACGCCTAAGGTACAAGTTTTCCTTTGGCATGCACTAAAAAGTGTTCTTCCATGTCAAGCTACTCTAGCAAGTTGACATGTGATACCCTCTGGTGTTTGTTCTTGTTATTTGTGAGCTGATGAAGATTTGTTGCATGCATTGTGGTCTTTTAAGTTTGCATGATAGTTTTGGAATTGTTCTCCTCTGTGCCAAGCAACGGTATTTTCTTTCATGAATATCTTTTATCATATTCGTATTATATTTTAGGAGGAGAATATATATTCATTTGCAGCGATAGCTTGGATAATTTGAGCATAGAGAAACATGAGCCTTCATGGAGGCTTAATTAGAAAGCCTTGACACATCACTAGCCTTCTATAAGGAGAGTGTGTTGATCTATGTACAGCTGCTAAGTTATCTCATGTAGTTTCTTGTTGTTGAAGCCCCCTGAGGAGGATTTCATAGAATTAAATGTTGATGGGGCATATTGTGTGGTTGATAGAAAGATGGGGTTGGGAGCAATAGTTCAAAATGCCCATGGATAATTAATGGATGCCATGACTAAACTTGTAATTGATTTCTTTCCCCAAGAAAATATAAATTGAATTTTTCTTTGTAATTAGAAATAGGGTTCGTCATCGGGCCGAAACTTTTTTTCAAAGTGTATTAATTTTTTCGTCAAAAGTGATGGATAAAGACTATTCTCTTTAAAAAAAAATTGTATAGATTACTACATAACTTTAAAACAAAAACATAAACTCTTTGACTAAACCTAGACCAATAGCCAATATATTTAAAAAAATATTATACCTAAAAAGAATCTTATGAAAATATTAGCCAAACTCTTTGCAGTTTTTTTTTGTCTCTCCTCCCTCTCTCTCGTCTCTCTCTCCTTCCTTTCCTGTCTCTTTCTCTCGTCTCTCTCTCTCTCCTCCCTCTCCAATCTCTCTCTCTCTCCTCCCCCTCCCTAGTCTTTCTCTCTCCTCCCCTCTCCCTCGTCTCTCTCTCCTCCTTCTTTCCTTTTCTTTTGATAATTTCAATTTGGGAATTAGGGTTTCTGAATTTTTTATTAATAGATCTTAAAAATAGTTTGGAGTTCAATACTAAACAAGTTTTTAGATCCTAAAATTAGTATTTAAAAACTCATATTTTAACAAAAATCATAAGTCTTCAGTTCATTTTTTTAAGTAGGATACCGAACGGGCCCTAAATTACAACTACTCATATCCTAAGTTGTAAGGTTGTAATTAATCAATTGATTTTTAGCTTTCCTTGACATGTGTATAATTTCTTGTAATAAGCTTGCTCAAAAGGATTTAGATTAGTTTAAGATTGATGGCTTATTGTGGACCTCATAGAAAGATTGTCACATTGGTTTCTCTTCAACAAGGCGGCAGTGGCATTTTTCAATAAAGGTAAAATCATACATTGCATTGCATCTTTGGTTTATGGTCCAGTTGGATGACCTATCATCCTGAGGGCACAATTTTACCATTTATGCCAGCTTTTACTCCTCTGTCCAAATTTTTATTTTTATTTTGCCTTAATTGATAGCCAACACATTGCTGACAATTGTATTTTTTTTTCTTTCTTTCTAGGGTAGCCTTTTACTCTCCTTGCTATAAGGAGGCAAATTTTTAAGGTGTTGTCACTTCACAAAATATACCTTGCATTTTTGGGAAGTTTGAAGGCTCAATATTTTCTTTGTGAAGGCCGTGAGGTTGCATTTATGAGATTTTTTAAAAACCTATTTTTTCATAAAATCTTGAAATTCCCTAGAATGGCCAATCGATCTGTTTCTTAATACTCAAACATCACATTAGGATTGAAATACTGTAACAATTATGTAAGCAAAGAATACGTAGAAGTAATAAAATCAAACAAAAAACACAAACACTTGCACAAAGGACACAGGATATGTTGACGCAGTAAAAAACCTCAAGATGAGGAAAACAACTGCGAGCATTATGCCGGAAAACAAATCACTATGAGAAAGGATACGAAAAGGTCTTACAAGTCTCAACTCACAAGACTAACGCTCACAAGGCAAACTTGCCTACTTGACTTTGCTACTCAACCCAATCAGTGATCTTGTCTTCCTTCGTCAACAAGAGATGGCTCAACTCTGGTCTCAACTGCTCACACCTCAAGGCACGATTGCTAATCACCAACATACATAATGCTCATGAACTCACACATATATAAAAAGATGATGATTTAATCACTCATAGAGGCTCACAAGGAACAGCCACATGAGTTTTCAATAAAAACTCTCAAAAAGACCTCTGCAAGAATATTTTTGTCGTTCTTTGCTTCACAACATTACAGCAAAAAAATCGACTAAGTTCGTTTCTTATTTTGCATGCTTCAAACTAGGTCAAAGACGGAAAAAGGCTTTTAGCAAAAATGGGCTTTTTAACAAATAAATTATTTCTTGAAAACAAATAAAGCCACTTAACTAAAAACCCAACTGAAAAGACAAAAGAATTAAATAAACACCAAACTAAAGAGTATAAAACCATCCATGCAAATATGAATGCATGGATGCAAAACATACCTTGACATTGTCTCTCAGCCACACTAATCCAGGATAGCAGAATGTCACTTAAAAACTGTAGGTTACACTCAAAGACATACTCTATATTTTTGTAACAGGAAATTGCCAATATACCAAAAATTGGTCCTAACAAATCTACTTGTGATCACTAGCTATATCTGCATCTAGATGTCCTAAATCATATATATTTCTCCAAGAATGGTTTCATGAGAAAATTGATCCTTTCTTAAATCTACATTTCATCACTGCATTTGTTTGAGTAGTGTTGTGTTACTGGTGCCATGAGATGATTGAGCTGAAGGATGAAGCTTCCATTATCATGATGGACTAGTTGCGAACGTTGCTGAGAAGAAGAAGATAGCTTGGAGAGGTATAGCTGCTCCTTTATAGAACTAGGAAACTTGAGATGTATCTATTGATCTTTGTAACTATTTCTTCTTGTTATAATGGATTGCCAGGTCGGAGTGATGACCTCGAGTTTTTCCCAGCAATGGGTTTCTGGGTAAACATTTTTGCTGTGTTGTTCTTACTATTATGATTAGTCATACTATACCTGTTGTTGCTGAAATGCTGAAGAAAGATTCTTACACACCTATCATTCTAGTTGTTGCTAGCACAGGGGATGCCTAGATTGACGAAACCTTCTGAGTGCCTAGATTGTTACGTAGTCTTTTTCTAGATCTGCAGGGGGTACGAGATTTGTGATTGAATGTGTATGTTTGTTTGTTATGCGTTCTTAGGTCTTTGACTTGGGATTGGCTAGTCACACATTGATTAGGAATACTTTGTTGTCTGATTCCTACATGTCTGATCTGTCCAGTGGGATTTTAGTTTACTCCCTTCACCTAAGTACCAATTTCATAAATTACACTACACCTAAATTTGCAGAGAATAAAGATAAATAATGAATTTGAAGATTTGGTGTTGACGCACTCTCCTTCTTCGTTACTATTTATAAGGTTGAATTTTAACATTAGGACTAAGAAATACAATTCAATCAAGAGCTTAGTTGGTTATAGTATCGTTGATTTTTCGATTGATGGTTTCATTTCATACACACAAAACTTAAGCGCCATGTATTTGTTGATGATCACTATTATTTTATTACAAAACTAAGCTGGAATATACAAACATATACATGATTGTGTACGGAAGGTTTCAGTTAGAGCGTTCATATTAATGAGGCCGTGACTTTCTATTGGATCATATGTTTTCTTGGCTGAAATATAAGACTGGAACAATATGTCGACAAGAACATATCGGACAAGAGTGGATATTGCAAAAAAAGGAACATGACAACTGGAACAAATGCAAATATAAATATAAAATCTGAGACGAAACCTAATCCGTAGTGACAAGATAAATAGAAGGCTGTGCTGAAGGCTATCATCATGGATGTCATGGAGATGAAGAGTGATGCGAGTCCTACCATTAACTTCAACGGTAAGGATTTGAGAAAATCGTTTTCTGCATACCGCGAGGTGAGGATGTACAAGAACATCAGCATGGAAGTTGAAGAGGAAAAGAGGGCTACTCCATCTGATATTGCAAAGATTAGAAATGCTGTCTCTTTTACGAAATTTGGTGCTCCTGTTTTATCAGCTATACCGCCTGGCATGCTAAATGCAGCTGAAAACACGACAGTGGCAATAATGGTTGCGACAAGCATGCACGATTTTGCAGTGTTCTTCATCCATGATTCTCCCTTATGCAATAACCCCTTATGTTCACTGGTGAATAATTCTCTCGGTGTTTTGCCATTCTTGTTTTTCATCTCTGTAGAGAGAGCTTGCACAATCTTTTTAACTTCCTGCATATGGAAATATTAATGCATATAAATGCGTATTTATTAAAACGATGCACTAAATTATGAACCCTTCTAATTTGAGTCACACCATATGAAAGTGTTACGATCTCATAAAACGCATCTCAAATGTAAGGCTCAAACATTGGCAACATTATAAGAATCTTATAAGAAAAAATACAACAATGATAAATATTGCAAGGATAGAAGCAGAAGTACCTCAAACCATACTAACTCTCGCTGCATTTGAAGAGCTGCTCCTGACACAAGTTTGAGTTGATTTTGAGGTGCTAATTTTGCAGCCAGATGTAATATGTTGTTATCATCATCATCACTCATTGCCGTTATGAAGTCCTTGAAAAAGCCGATCTCATGCACTAGATTGAAGATACTTGCATGACGATGCAAAACTGCAACATGGATTATACTTCGTTTTTTTTCGTCGAGTTCCCAAAATAAATCAGGATAAGTGCTTAAAAGTGCAGCCAGGAATTCAAAATTTCCTAATCTTGTAGCGTCAAATAGTAGTTGTGAAGGATATTTTATCAAGCTCATGACCACTTGGTCGTCAAGTTTTAAGATTTCTTCCCAAAGCTGTTGAACTAGTTGAAGGGCTTTGGTTTGCTTCGAGTTTCCCTTGTATGCAAACTTCAAAACTGAAAGTACGTACTTACGATGAGAATGTCAGAGCAACAAAATCCCAATGTCAAGTATATATGCATGATAATCTCAGATAGTTACAATAACTTATTAATTCAGGTGTAAAGTTTTATGTTATATACGATCAGGCGCTCCTTCTCTTCAATAGCAAGGGTCTGGATCCCATTCCGGATGGGGGTTAGTAATAAAAACCCTAAGCAATAGCTTTCTCTTGTCATGCCGCTTATAAGTAGTCTATCTCTCTCTCTCTCTCTCTCTCTCTCTCTGAGCTAGCTCTCTGCATTTTACTTAGTAATTTGCACATGACAAAATAATATCACACAAAATAAGTGCTTACTTCCACTTAATTAGGTAATTATTACTACATATATATGTCCATAGATTATAATTTTCTATCAATTAACTCACATGAATTGGTGATTCTACTCCACAATCCTGAACTTTGGCTAGCAAATTCTGAAGGCCTTCGAGCCAAGACATGCAAGGCTGTTTCATTTTCCCCATTACGAACCGTAGCTAATGCTGTATAATTTCCTAACATCTTCATGGCTAAATCTGCATAATTTAAAACAAAGTAACTTTGAAAATTCAGCCAGTGTGAAGTAATTTATTAATTAATTACTTCTGTGTGCCATTAGTTTTCTCTATGAAACAAAGAAAATTATAAAATCAAAAGCATGAAATGTTTCGTATACCTACCATAGAGACCTGTATCGACACAAGTAAAAAACAGCGCATTGCGGTCCCTTTCGTCAAATATTTCATAAGTTTTAGGGTACAGGTACTCCACCATTTCAGACTGTCCCAACAAAGCAGCCATATATATTGGCGTCATTCCTTCACCCCCTCGGATTGTTGGCAAAAATATATTTTTTCGTATCATAATGTCAGCAATTTCTACCGTTCCAGCTGCAGCGGCAAAACTCAATGCAGTATTTTGTTTATTGTCTTGCAGTGCCAAGTCTTCTGCATCCATTATTTGGACCAGTTCCTTCACAAAGTGAACATGTCTTGCTCCTGCGGCAATGTGAAGGGCAGTTTCCCATCCCTTTGTTATGCTAGCAGTTAAAAGTTTCTTATCCTTTCTAAGAATGCTTTTAGCAGTTTTCCAATCGCCTCTTAGAGCAGCTTTATGGAGGGGCACACATAACCTAAGATACTTTTCTCTTGCTTCTCCTGTGTGTAGAATTTAAAGATGAAGATCACAAAGAAGATCACAAAGTCAAAAACTCAAAAACAATCTGTTTGGTAGACCTAGTTTTGAAAACTTCAACTAAACAATAACTCAAAACACCCAAATACTTGAAAACAGAACATATCTGTTTTTTTAGACTTTTTTTTCTTTCTAAAACATGTTTTTGAGTTGCATACCAAACTTTTTTAATTTAAAGACATGGATTTTAGAACTCCTTGTTTTTGAAGTTTTTGAGTTCCCTACTTGAATAGGATACCAAACAAATTTTTGAATCTTAAAAAATGGATTTGAGAACTCCTTGTTTCAAAGAAAAATCAAAATTTTGAGTTCTCTACTTGAATAGGATACCAAACGCCACATACTCTAACAAGATTCAAATATATAGCATGTTGTTCTCAAATCTCAAGCCTTTACATTTAACAATGTATGTTATTATCTTTGTGAAGATGGAGGAAGTTCAAATTATAAAATACTATTGTAATATTCCTAATAATGGTTGTGGGAGAATTCTCTCCTTACTATGTGTTGTGGGATGTTTTCCTTAATATGGGTTGTGTAATATGTCATAATTTTTTTAGTAGACTAAGTTTGATGCTTAAAACATCTTCTTTTGATGTAAATAGTTTTATTTTTTATACATGACATAGTTGAGAATGTGTAATCCAACACGACGTTGGGTCAGGTGCATAGACAAAGGCTTTTAACTTTATTAACCACAAATACATGACATAGTTTCATTATTGTAATTTTAGAAAATGTATGGTCTATACCAAGCCAAATTGTTAACAATTATGTCATGCAATACACAAAAATCTTATTTGTCATAAAAGAAGGGTCTACCAATAATGGTGTGTATGGACATGATGGGAGAGAGAGAGAGAGAGAGAGAGAGAGAGAGAGAGATATGTTACGTACCATTGTTTTCCTGTAGTAGATGGAGTGAAGGTGTCTTAGGTTGAGGCGAAGGTATGTGGATCACACAATTTGGTGGAGACTGAATGCCTAGTCCTGTTGTTGGAGCGCCAGCCATAAATTGGATTTCAGCTGCTGGTACATGTTGTGCTTGTGGGCTACACATGCTTACCAAATTAATCTGTGTACCCATATCCTCGCGTGCACCTGCACAAAATAAATAAATAAATAAATAATAAAACAGGTTATTTTGTATTAGTTTATCTAATCACCAGTGTATTGAGTCGGTTCTCATCTAAGTGATTATATTTTAACTAGTAGTTTCTTGGGTTATTAGTTCTATTAGGCCTTGAATTTTGACCCGATTCTCATTTTGGTCCCTCAATTTTCAAAATCGTTCCCGTGGTCCTTCAACTTCCGTTTCGTTAGGACAAATGGTCATGTCGTCAATTTTGTTAACTTAGTCTATTAAATGCAGGGACAAAATGGTATTTTTGTATTAAAACCAAAAAAAGAATAAAAAATCATATCTTTAAAATAACAATAAAAGAACATTAAATAAAAAACCAACACCAAAAAAAAAATCAAAATCAAAATCAGAACCAGAAAGATGAATAAAAAATCAAATTGAGAGAGAGAGAGAGAGAGAGAGAGAGAGAGAGAGAGAGAGAGATAGAGAGAGAAAGAGAGATTTATTTTTAATTTTAATTTTTTAGTTTTTAATATTTTATTTATATTTTAATTAATTTAATACAAAAATACCATTTAGCGTCTAGGACCATTTGTCCTAACGAAACTAAAGTTGAAAAACCACATGAACAATTTTGAAAATTAAGGAATCAAAATACGAATCGGATCAAAATTTAGGGACTAATAGACCTAATAACCCTAATTTCTTTGATAATTATTACAAAACTGACCCTAATTAACAAAAGATGTGGTCCAGTGAGTGGATCCCACATGATTTGTATTGGTGTGCCCAACTTGCATGCTAGACATACAGAAGAGCTTAATTATTCTTGAATTACTTGAATTAAATAAAGAGTAATTAATAAAATGGAGTCAAAATATGCTTTTGTTTTCTCCATCCAGTTTAGTCGTTCCTCTTCTTCTTCTTCTTCTTCTATTCGGCTTCCTATTTTGATGATACGTACATGGAGAACTAAGTTCCACTCATTGTTTACCCATGAATCGCACAAGATATACAGAGGGAGGGACTCGAGGATCAATAAAAACAAATACAGATAATGGAAGTGAAAAAGCAAAAGAGCATGAATCATGTCCGTACAAATAATTAATAAAGTAAATATCCAGACACAAGGAAAACAAAAAACTTGAAGAATATGCATGCAAACTTTCACACTATAGGTCAAAATTTGCCCCCAGATAACAAGAATCGATATGAAATTTGTCGACGGACCATCAAAGAATAAGTGTGCACTGGGAGTTTTGAGAGACAGATCAAAAACCAATTAACAGGAGGAATGGATAAGCAGGTTACTTACAAGACAGATCAAAAGCTGAGCAGCCGCCAGCACCACCCTTGAGAGAGAGAGAGAGAGAGAGAGACTACCACTCTTGTCCACTCTTGAAGCTTGTATATATAGGAAGGAAGGGTTTCGAGAGTCTTGAAGCCAAACAGAACTACTTTCAGTCTCTCTCTAGCTTTGCTTAGTGGGAAACTCGAAGACATTAATAATTGGTCTCAACTCTCAACAGGGAGACTTGGTAAAATATATTATATATAATTACTGTTTTTGTTTTATGTTTTTTTTAAAGGGTAATAAAATGTCGAAAATGTAAAGTTTTAAATAAGAGATATGATTTCCCCACTCCCATTTTCTTCAATTACACTTCCTTTTGCTTTTTAATACTTTGTAATCAATTTTGTTCTTTTTTTTTCCTTTAATACCTTACTCTACATTAATATCTTTTTACTTCACTTTTATATTAGTTCTTTTTCTTTATACCTAATTTTCCAACTTGCACTTCATTTTTAGTGAAAAAAATTTCCTTTAATCGTGTAAGAAATTAGGTTCTTTTTTTTTCCCTTTTAATACTGAAAATGGAGTGTAAATTGAAAAATGAAGTATAAATATATATATATATATAAATGAAGTAAAAATGAAATTAATGGAAGGTAAAAGTAAAATAAGAAAAAGAAAGAATAAAATTGATTAAAAAGTATTTAAAAAGCAAAAGAATAATGATGTAAATGGAGATAAGACCCGAGGGGCGTGGAAAAGTAGTGCTCTTGAAATTGAAAGTCTTGACTAGTTGAGCCAATACAGTGGCATCCGTACTCTCTTCTCCGATGGAAGAAGACGACGCTCACTCACCACCACCTAATATTTAACAAAGATGAAATGATATTATATTGTCGGTAGTGAGGCAAGAGTCAAAAGACACTCGACCAAAGTTGATTATAAAGGAAGGGAAACTTGCAGGAAACTTAATCAAAAGATATGTGAATTTGGGAAGAAGTTATACATAGGCCCCCTCGCACGTGAAGGCAAAACCCACGCCTAGACAATTGTACAAAAACATAATAATAAATATATAGCAAAGGGCAAAAATATAGATATATGTATAATGTATATATATGGCTTTCCCAATCTCTGAGGAGGGCCACACTCACAGCCGCCCCTAGAAGAAGACAATCTACCGAAAAGAAACGAGGAATATTGGGAAAAAAATAATACAAAAGAGGGAGAAAGTGGAAGTCTTGGCTGCGATGATCATATGATGATTCTTCTTCTTCCGGTTGGTGCAAAAAATTTGACAGGATATTTGTTTGCACATATATATATATAGACAAAATCTAAACCTTAGTAAACTAAAAGTAACTCAAGTAAAGTAACTCAAATAGCTTTATAATCACGAGCAAGGAATTGTATGGCTTTTGACTGGGTTGATTGTGCTTTTACTGCTTTACTCATGCTTTTACTCAGGCTCTTTATGCTTTTACTCAGGAATATGCTTTACTCATGCTTTTACTCAGGCGCTTTATGCTTTTACTCAGGAATCTGCTTTTACTCATTCAACTTTCAATTTTGTCTGCTGCTTTAACTCAATTATGATAGGGAATCTCAGTCTGAATTAAGCTCATAGGTGGCATATGCATCATTGGGGTCCTGACTATGGAGATAATTAGACCATCTCATGGGGCGATCAGGGCTCGGACTTTGTTGACGAGGTTGATCTTGAAGCTTGTATATATAGGAAGGAAGGGTTTCGAGAGTCTTGAAGCCAAACAGAACTACTTTCAGTCTCTCTCTAGCTTTGCTTAGTGGGAAACTCGAAGACATTAATAATTGGTCTCAACTCTCAACAGGGAGACTTGGTAAAATATATTATATATAATTACTGTTTTTGTTTTATGTTTTTTTTAAAGGGTAATAAAATGTCGAAAATGTAAAGTTTTAAATAAGAGATATGATTTCCCCACTCCCATTTTCTTCAATTACACTTCCTTTTGCTTTTTAATACTTTGTAATCAATTTTGTTCTTTTTTTTTCCTTTAATACCTTACTCTACATTAATATCTTTTTACTTCACTTTTATATTAGTTCTTTTTCTTTATACCTAATTTTCCAACTTGCACTTCATTTTTAGTGAAAAAAATTTCCTTTAATCGTGTAAGAAATTAGGTTCTTTTTTTTTCCCTTTTAATACTGAAAATGGAGTGTAAATTGAAAAATGAAGTATAAATATATATATATATATAAATGAAGTAAAAATGAAATTAATGGAAGGTAAAAGTAAAATAAGAAAAAGAAAGAATAAAATTGATTAAAAAGTATTTAAAAAGCAAAAGAATAATGATGTAAATGGAGATAAGACCCGAGGGGCGTGGAAAAGTAGTGCTCTTGAAATTGAAAGTCTTGACTAGTTGAGCCAATACAGTGGCATCCGTACTCTCTTCTCCGATGGAAGAAGACGACGCTCACTCACCACCACCTAATATTTAACAAAGATGAAATGATATTATATTGTCGGTAGTGAGGCAAGAGTCAAAAGACACTCGACCAAAGTTGATTATAAAGGAAGGGAAACTTGCAGGAAACTTAATCAAAAGATATGTGAATTTGGGAAGAAGTTATACATAGGCCCCCTCGCACGTGAAGGCAAAACCCACGCCTAGACAATTGTACAAAAACATAATAATAAATATATAGCAAAGGGCAAAAATATAGATATATGTATAATGTATATATATGGCTTTCCCAATCTCTGAGGAGGGCCACACTCACAGCCGCCCCTAGAAGAAGACAATCTACCGAAAAGAAACGAGGAATATTGTAAAAAAATAATACAAGAGAAAGAGAAAGTGGAAGTCCTCGCTGCGATGATCATATGGTGATTCTTCTTCTTTCGGTTGCTGCAAAAAATTTGACAGAATATTTGTTTGCATACAGTGGTGGAGAGAGAATTTTTTATAAGATGAGATCCTTCATAAAATTTTATAAAATAATTCAAATAGGAGTGCCTCAAACACTAATTGGTTAACAAGTTAATATGATATTAACTATTCGATTTAGCCCACTTCATAATATCATTTCATATTGATTAATAATTTATCTATTTATTACAATCATAATTGTTCTTAATTTTATGTTATAAAATGTTTGAATATTAATCTCACCATCTACACTATTAAAGACTCAAAAGTTAATAATTTATATTCCAACATAGAGAAGAAATACAAAAATAAAATAAAATAAATCATAAATCCCAATATTAAAGTACCCTACTCAAATATGTAAAAAGGGAGGGAAAATTTTCATAAAGCTTAAGCTTAAGTTAAACAAAAGAGGAAGAGAAAGAGAAGAAAAAAAAACTTAGGGGTTTTTAATGTAAATATCATAACCTAGTGAGTTGATCTAATTGAAAGTAGAAGAGTGATTAAGAAGTTTAATAGTCAATTTATAGACAAAAAGAACCTAATATATTATTTATTTTGGAGTAAATATCCCATATATAATATAATACAATATATAAATACAAGGAATCAACAAATTGAGGGGGGGCTTGGGAGCACCCCATACATGGCTCCACCCTGTTTGCATATATATATATATATAAAAAGCAAAAGATAGAGAATGATGAAACATTCAAAATACCATAAAATGTCATTCGTTAATACAAACATTAAGAATTGAAATTATTAATTAAAAGAGGATAATATGGTAAATTCAGACTATTTCATATTAAAAAAATTAAAATTAAAAGAAAAATCAGATAATGGATCCTATTTTTATGGAACACAACTACCCATTATCTTTTTTAATTCTAAAATAAATTAAAATTAAATAAATAAATAAATAAAAGCCTCTCACAGGCGCAGATGCGCTTGCAAAGAGGCTAGTAGATATTATGTGTCATTATTACTTAGGAATTTGGAATATTTCATGGTTTTCTATTTTGGATATTTTAATTTTAATATAACCAGTTTATTAGAAATCAGAAAGTCCTATCTTGTAACATATTTTGTTTTTAGTTTTCAAAAAAGTGAAATCTAGTTTTCAAAATCACCCTTATTTTATAAAACAACTTGAAAGTGTTTTCGGCTTTTGTTCGTTTGTTTGTATTATTATTATTATTATTATTATTTTGCACTCTTATTTTATTCATTAATTTTACTTAACGACACATGAAATGCACTCTAGTTATCAAAATTTGGTATTTGGGACCTCCCGACTTGGACTCGGTCGCTCAATTCTTACATTTAACCACGAACCCAATAGTTTTGGCTACGGATTGATTTGTGACTAAAATTGAGATTTTCTAGTTGCCATATCTAAATTAGACTACTTAATTAGCTTGGTACACTTCATATATTTATCGAATGTATACTTACAAATCTAACTTATTATCTTATATGTAATTCATGCTCAAAGAAAGACTCAAAATATTTCCTCGCTAAAGAACTTATGTGTTGTAGACTAGTGTTTCCATACGACCCAAAAAAAGACTAGTGTTTCCAGAATATTAAGTAGATTGCAGAAGTTCAAACATTCGAGGTTCAAAATTAGTAGAAAAAAAAATGCATATATAGGATTATGAAATTCTAATAACAACTCATCTTTCGAACTATAGTAATCTAAAACCCCCTTTCAGATAATGTTGTTGATTCAAGCACACAAAGTACGAAGACTCATTGAATCAATATCACCCCATTACTAAAACCCCCTTTCAGCATAGATACACATCATTCTAGGGGTAAGGTTAACCATTGAGGATTTGGCTTTCTATTGGATCATATGTTTTCTTGGCTGAAATATAAGACTTGAATAATATGTCGACAAGAACATATCGCACAAGAGTGGATATTGCAAGAAAACGAACAAGACAACTGGAACAAATGCAAATATAAATATAAAATCCGAGACGAAACCTAATCCGTAGTGACAAGATAAATAGAAGGCTGTGCTGAAGGCTATCATCATGGATGTCACGGAGACGAAGAGTGATGCGAATCCTACCATTAACTTCAATGGTAAGGATTTGAGAAAATCGTTTTCTGCATACCGCGAGGTGAGGATGTACAAGAACATCAGCATGGAAGTTGAAGAGGAAAAGAGTGCTACTCCATCTGATATGACAAAGATGAGAAATGCTGTATCTTTTAGGAATTTTGGTGCTCCTGTATTATCAGCTATACCACCTGGTATGCTAAATGCAGCTGAAAACACGA